AAGCATCGATGGCACTTTGTACGACTAACACATGGAGGAATCGTACGTAAAATAAAGAACGAAGCTGTTTTCTTACAATATTTCCCGTGATAATATATTGAACAAAATTTACTGTTGAATACGAAACTTCCGAATTTTTGTACGATGAAATAAATGGTAACCGGAGGTCGTCTCTCGGGTGCAAGGGGTTAACAATGCTCGGCAGTCTGTTACCGTCGAGAGTGACAAACGTACGACCGAAAGAGAGAAATTGGTGGAACGAAATGAGCGAAAGGATGTTTAACAGAGGGAAGTGAAGTTTCTAATCCTACGTTATTCCGACTACGACACTAATCTACATAGACACCAGCGCCATGAAACCCAAGAGTCGACGTTGCGACATCGAGCCTCAGCGCGAGTAGGCCGATCCGAGTTTACACGCGATTAATTCCACGCCCGAGTCGAAACGTTGGTTAAGCGTTCGATTACCAGACGGATAGAGTATTGCGACCGAGCTCCAGGATTTCTCGAGTTACGCGAAACACCTTATAAACCGTGTTCGCCGGACACCTCGAAATTTCTGAGCGAAACTTGGCTGCGGCGTCGCTTCAACGGGGGCACCGTTAATCCGGTTAAACGAAATCTCCAAGACAACGCGGCCAATTCTTGGCTAGAGCCGGCCGAAGGTGTACCGGGACACGCGTTTATCATCTTCTTTCCCCGCGTCGGTCGTCCATTTCTCAGGGACGCGCGTTCCTCGTCTCCGCGGAGACGAAGAAAGCTGGCGCGACGCGCCCGATGACTGCGAGTAAACGAGAATGTCGGATTAAATTGCTTGTCTTCCGCCCGATCTTCCTCTTCCTCTCTTCTCCCCTTTCTCCCCTGTCCCCGTATGGTCCGCGCACGCTACCCCGAGACGCGGCAAGACACGACAGATGGTTTCCCGTGACTTTGCGACTTTTTTGCGCGCGGACAAACGATTAAGAGCCCCGGCAGATAGGATGAAACCCGAGATTGAACGGATGAATTGAAAACTCTCTCTCGCGCGCTCGTCTAACGACCTATCCGCAAGAACCTCGGCCTCGCCTGCTCGCGGGCTGATTAAGGTCCACCGGAATAGACCGTCGACGTTCAACATTTTCCAAACTTCTACGAACTCTTTCTATAGATAACCCAAGTACGCGACGGGATTGTTCCTTCGCTACTTTTGGTTTTAGATATCGAAACTCGAAATAGCCATTTCGGTATTCGACCGCAGAGAACTTCAACGATTTTAGCTTGGCAAGACTGAATCTCTTTTCGAGACAGCGCCCTTTGGATTTCGATCCATCTCGGATCTTCCGTCTTTGACGATGTCCCCGGCCGAATTCAGCAAACTTCAATTGCGCGTCGCGGATCCCGCGTGCAGCCTGGTAACGAGAGTCCGAGTAGCGGGCACGTGTGCATAACGGCCCGCTATTTGTCCGTTTATTCGATATCGATGGCCGGCGTAATGCGGGCCGCGTGTCAAATAAACAACGAATACCTGATACCGCCAACTATAACCGTAACGAGAGGAGTTCCAGCCGATCGTTATCGGGCCGACCGCAACCGATCGTTTAAAGCGAGAGCTTCTCTGCCAGCGAACGGTTCTGGCATAGTTCGACAACTCGCTCCGCGGAATGGATGCGCTTCGATAAGTGCCGCGTTACACCCCTCGAATAACTAACGTCTGTCGGGGAAAAGAAGCGCGGCTCAAGGTTTGCTCCCCCCGTGCGCAGTTGACGATCGAAGACGCGATGCTTGGAATTCCGAGGACAGCCGGATTCGTGCAACATACGACTGGAACGCGGTATTTAAGCTGTCTTTTCGATCGTACAAGATTCAACCACCGCGTCTCGGACAGCCAGAAATAGCAATTCATTCTTACACTAACGAACAAGAAATCCGATTCGCTATTCATCAGCCCCGTTCGTCGTTAGAAAGAAGAACCATACTGTAAAATGTAGTACAAACTTCCAAGTTCAAGGTAGGATTACAGAACCGATCGTCATCTAGGTGTTTCTTTAGCCAGAAGACGCGAGCACAACCGCCTGAAGCATCGGTAAACCGAGATAGCAGAGGACGGAGAAGGTAGGTATGCCTGGCGCGGCAAAAGCGTTAACAGCTGGCGTATCAAGCGAACGCGACCCGCGTCGCGCATACCCAAAGCGCAATTTGATGGCGTGTAATTTCAGCCACGCCTCGCCTAGTCCAGCCGGTGGCCGCCGATAAAGGGGAAGAAAAGAAAAGGCGCGCAACGGGCAAGGAGACGCACCGGCAATTAGAGTGTCGCGGGACGCGACGTGTCGCGCGAACGCGAGACGTGCCTGGCTTAAAATTCGCGAGGAAGAGCGACTCCGCCGCTATCGCTCGTTGAATCGAGGTGGTTCCGTTGGATGATCAACCTATCTTATCAACGACGCGCCACGTACGTGCAGTGATCCAACGCTTTCGGCTGCCTTACTGCTGGATTATCTATGATCCCTAAGTAACTCTGCTTCTATCAAACTTCATCGGTCATCTTCGCCCTTTCCTCGGCTCTCAGTGGATCCCAATCGAAACTGATCAAGTAACAAAAGAAGCAATCAATTGAAATGGTACGTTGCCCAGAAGCCTGCTTGAAAATCAACCCTTAATCCTTTGAGGTTCCCGTCGACGTTGGTTCATTCAATTACAGCTTAATATGACACTCTATTTATTTATTCAAGAATATTTGGGAGTCATTGAAATGTTACCTTTAAATGGTACGATTGTGATACTACAAATATAGAAAAAATTGTTAAAAGGTAGAGGTTGCAATAAAATAGAATGTCGAGTCTGACTCGACATAGGACTGCTAAGGGTTAACGGAGCAATACCACCATGTAAGTCCCATGGCACTCATTTACTGTCCTAGATCACTTCTACGAATTTCTTTCCGTTTATAATAAGCCGCGTCTACGCAAGCGGCTGTTGCAATGAAGCGTTGGCCAGAAGCCTGCTTGAAAATCAACCCTTAACGAACCACTGCCACCATATAAGCCCCATGGCACTCATTCACTGTCCTACATCACTTCTGTGAATTTCTTTCCGTTTATCTACGTTACGGTATCCTTTACTGGCAAGTAACCCCGAAATACTTCCAATTAAAAGATCTTCCCATTCGGTTCGCAACGCGCTGATAATAAGCCGCGTCTACGCAAGCGGCTGTTGCAGTGAAACGTATCTCGTTGTAGATTCCGAAACAACGAGGCTCGCGTCGCGCAGAATACAATTCCGAGGAATTAACATCAGAAGCGAAGTCAGTCAGCCCGGAGGTGTCGCGAGTCTCGAAGGCACTCGGTCGAGTAGCGCCGATAGGCCGAGACAAAGCCTCGGGAGCAGCCGCGGAGGAGGAACGGTCGATGGCTTTATAGAATTTTTAATAAGCGACATCGGCACGCTCGCGATTCCCTGCGAAAGCGGAAATGTAAATTCAGCGCTTTCGCCGGCCGGAAGGGGAGGACCGGTCCCTCTTGTAATGCCGACATTAAAATTGCAAACCGTGCAACGGGCTCGAAGCCTTCGTCCTCTATCCACCCCTCCCGGCCCCCCGGCCGCCGCGGGACTATGATTGTCCGCGGAGATCTTCAAGCACTAACGTGGAAACAGTGTTCGAGCAGCAGTAAATGAAAGCCGCCGTTAGTCGTGGAAACGCGTCTGCGGATGCGTCATATTAAAATCCGGCATTGTTCGTCTTCAATGCAGAGACGTCGCCGGGAAAGCGAGTTAGGTGGTGGAAAGGGGAACGCTGGGACGGGGTATATAGGGTGCTCGCGTTATTATTGTCAGCCATTTTTCTCGCAAATACGAGGCCCGGAGAGGGAAAACCGAGGAAGGAACGTGGATAAATCTATGCTGTTTCTTATGGACTTCTCCGTGGCCCCAGGGAAACATCGAAATCTCTTGAAGATTCGTCTTGATCTTTACTGATGACTGTTAAATGACGGAAACTTCTCCCTTTACCCTTTCCCATTTTTTCCGCTCGCATTGGCGAACGTTTAAAAATTCAGTGCTCGGTGTTTCTATCGCGAGCACCCTGTGTAGCGGTGCCATTAGCATGGACACGCGATTTATCAACAGCAATGCCCTCTGCAGCCGCTCGTCTTTTCTCGTAAACACGATATATCTTTCGAAATAATTCATCGGGAACCAGCGGACGCTGGGATTTATTCAGAATTTATCATCGTTCAACGGGACGGACATTTTATCCGATTCGAAACGAACGGGAACGTCACCCCGTCCGCAAGGAACTGTGCTTCCGGTTCGTTACAACGCCGCGGCGTCGGTTCAACTGTTCACGAATAAGCGACGCACGCTCGCAGCGGCGTTTATTCGCACGAGCGTCGTCCGCGAGCGAGGAGCGAGCCGATTTTACGAGCGGCGATCAAATTTTCCATGGAAACACGAGCCCCGGTGGCGCAATTCATTCTCGGAGAAAGTTGCAAACGCGGACGAAATGTTTGGTTAACGCGACGACGGGAAGCGAGCGGAAGAGCATGACAAAAGATGTCCGCGGGGGGTAGACCGCGTCGTCGCTCTGATTGGTACGTCATCCCTGCCTCCGTTCGAATGTTCGGTGTTGATAAGCGGAACAGAACCGAATTACGGAATGAATATTTCAGGGGAACGTACACGGGAAAGGTCGGGGCGACCTTAAAGGAAACGCCGAGACAATGCTCGTCGATCAACAAACTCTTTTGCGTCCGAACGCGACTAATGGCCGACACATAAACAAACAATCGACGACACGCGACTCAACAGGCGACCGTTACGAGGAACGTGTGCCGTTACATAATGGAGTGCAACAACAGCCGAGATTCACCGCGAGAAGAATGGAACCTGAAAAATCGGGCGCAACGAGAAACAAATGTGCACGGAACAACATCGATACCGTGGTGAGCTTCAGTTTGCTCGGCGTGTGCACGAACCGTTCAGCATCCGAGTTGATGCTTCGTGGAATTGATTTGTTCAGGACTTACCTCTGTACATTCGTTGACAGCAGCCCCGACACGTGTCCCGGTTGATTTTCTTCGAGCACCGAAAACAACTACCGAAAAATGACAGCACAACGTGACACGCGAAACAAACCAGCCGGCCGGCCGCGCACCGACTACGAAAATCCGTTTGCGTACGCGCACAATTGTACCGACGTTGTGGCGACACCTTCTTCGCAACCGGCAACCACTAAACGGCTGTGCCTTTATTATGGTACTGAAGATTTTCGAGAACTGATTGCGCTAATTACCGCTGAAAAAGATGGGTCCAGCCAATGTCACACGTTTGCCGCGATAACGCACAACCTTCCAGCGGAGCTAGCTCGCGGTACTGGCGGCGGATGGGGGAAGAACGCGGATAGAGAAATGGTATCGCCATCTAGCGGCAGTATTGAACAGTTCAACCCCTGGAAGTATGGAGCCGAACACGCAAGTGCGTTTCACGGATTGCGGCTAGAGGTAATTTCGTTTCTGAGTGTAATCGTTGGGTTTTGTAAACGGGTCGCATCAATAGTCTAAGGATCTCAGAGTGAATGAAACTTTTATTAAGAAAAGTCAGAATGCTGTACAATAAAGAATTTTACGTGCTCGTATATAAAGAAATGAACGGCAGAATTATTTTCAACGGGAAATTTTATTATAAGAATCTAGTTTTATTGTTTCCAAGTGTGCAAAGATCATTGCATTAAAGCGATATAAAAATAGTTTATAATTAAGGGATATTAGCAAGGTAATCCTTGACATTAGAGGGGTCTAGTCTTCTGAAACCATTTGCATCGCAAATACCAACTTCTATGTTATCCGCGGTCATTTGCCCTTCGAAACCTTCTTTCAAAGTTAAAATGGCAGTGTGAACAGCGTCGTCCAGCTCCAAATCCTCGCTGTACCTTTTCTCAAGGAAGGTTTTGCCATTTATGAAGTTCTTACCCATGGCTGTAGCCTTCCATGGGAAATATGCACCGGAAGGGTCGCATTGGAATAAGTATGGCTTACCATTGTCCCAGCCACAGATTAGTAAAGACACTCCAAAAGGTCTGACTCCTCTGTAATTTTAATGTGTTAAATCTATCTTATATTAACTGGAAGAAAGGATATAGAATAATATGTACCCGGATTGCGTGTATTCCTGCATAAGAATAGCAACACGTTGCACCAATTGGGCAGTGGGTATTGGTTCTTGATAAACCAGTAAATACTGCTGTGCCATTTTACGCGCTTGCTTTACTAAAAGTCTATAGTCTGGTCCCATTCCACTGTAGGTCATACCAATGTGCTTTGTTATCATCTCCACTTTGTTCACGCTATGTTCATCGTACAATATAGATTTATGTTTATTCTCGGTGGCAAGAACAATGCCATTAGACGCTCTGATGCCTACACTGGCAGCACCAGCAGCAACTGCAGCCAGGGCATATTCTATCTGCACCAACTTCCCAGACGGGCTGTATAACAGAACAAATTCATCATTGTAGTCTGACACTTGCACTGTTGGTATATCTGACGAGTCATTGTAACCGTGTAACATTAGAATCAATGGGCTTACTGGGGGAATTAATAAAATATTTATTTTTATCATTAGATTTAAATACACGATCCCTTGCAGAGGACATTCAATCTTTTGTTAACGTACATTCAACGATAATTCTATAAACTAATACAGTTGATTCCATGCTAGGTTATATTCTTCCCAAAGGAGTTTCAGTGACCAATCAAATTATAAATGAAACAAACAACAAATGTATCAGATTTACCACTGAAGAAGTGGAAGTTATTACAGAAAAAATTCATTCTTACCTGAAAGTTGTTAACGAGAAACTATACCGTTCCGAAGCCATGACAATTACCTTGCAACAATACAGGTTACTAAATACCGTGAACTATTCCAGCAGAAGGCGTACCACCAATACGACCCAATGAAAATTACCAGGATCCGAGCGCTAGGAACATTTCAGCAAGGCCGCGCCGCGGCGCGGGAATTTTGAAGCTACAAACTCGCGGAGTAAATGATATCCAGGTTGAAATAAAAAAAGAATATCGATCGCGCGACAGAATGGACGATTATTTCGGACAAGATCCATCTGGAATCGCGTTCTACTGCACGAACGAATTGTCCCACGGATTCGTGCACGATTCGGCACGATATCGCGTTGAAAATATGTTACTTACGAACGCGTGTCTCCTTCGTTGCGTCGAATAAAGCGTGCCCAACGAAAAAGACATGCCTACCGAGGAGAACGCGATGGCCGACGAAAACGGAAAGATTCCGGAAGATCAGTTAGGACAGCTGCAGACGTGGATCGGCACGATTCCCTTCTCAAAGAGGAACAAAAATTTAACGAGAGACTTCTCGGACGGTGGTACTCATTCCCAGCAGCAATTGCCCACTCGCGAGCGCGTAACGAGACATTTTTCGTAATTATTCTCAGTGCTGATGGCGGAGGTCCTCAAGGTATACTACCCCCGTTACGTCGATCTCCGTAATTACGTGCCGGCCTGCAATCTCACGACAAAGAAGGAGAATTGGAACATACTGAATCGGAAAGTGCTCGGCAAAATCGATATGAAATTGTCGAAAGAGACAGTGAGCCAGCTGGCGAATTCTCATCCGGGTGTCGCTGAACATTTGCTCCTGGAGCTGAGAAATAAGCTTTTAAAAGATCCCGAGCATAATGCTTTGTTAAATATCAAAGAAAAGAACTCTGAGAAGGAAGGTAAGACATTATCCAGGAAAAGTCCACGTCTTGGTAGAAATTTATTCGTGTCTGCTGATCGAACGAACAATTTTCTGTTTAGGAAAGAAGAACGAAGCCGACGTTGTCGAGGAACATTCGGATTCCGATTCTAGTCGTCAATTAACTTCGAACACGCTCGATACCGATAAATCAACGATCAGGTGTGTTAAAAGAAGACTCTCCGCTGTTCTACAGTATCTGCTAGCTTGGCTCTGCTTTTGGACGTACTTCCCGAACATGAAACTCCGAAGTTCCCGTAAGTTACGAACATTTCCACGCGCAGGAACGTCCGACCAAGGAAAATTCCTGCGGATTCGACTGCGCTCCTCCTCGTGAAAGCGCGAGGTATACTTTCTCGCGTTCCCTTGAAGGCAACGGAAACGCCGACGCGGCCAGGACGCAAGACACGTCGCAGAATACCAATCCGGAAGACGTCGTTCCTCGTCACGTCTGCGCGCAATTGAAGCAAGAGCTCCTCGAGAAGGACGACATCATCTCCACGTTGAACTGCAAAGTCGCGTACCTTGAGAACGCGATGAAAGTGAAGGACCTTCGGATATCGAGCCTGGCCACGCGGATCCTGCAGAACGCGGTGAAGTCCGAGCAGCTCGCGAGGAACCAAACGAACGCGACGTTGTCCAAGGCTTGTTCTCGGCCGTTGAATATTCGCGAGAAGGTGAAAGTGGCGGAGTAACTTGTAGCGTATTCGAATAAACACCGAGTCTTTTGTTCAACCGAAACCGCGAGATAAGTCTTACGAGCTACGATAAACGGAGCGGCCGTTTTATCAAAATTGGAAAGTTCCATTGTGGCTTTCTCCAAGAAACACGTAAGTCAAACGATCGTGCATCGCGTTGTCGGCTTGGAGTAACTGTAAATAGGTTCGGGTAATTAGCACCGTCCGATAAGCGACCCTGCGAATAGGGAAGTATCGGGATAATCTCGACGCGGCGGCGACTTCCGCTATTTTCTATGTAAAAGCGAGTGGCCTGTTGATGCGACACGCACACCAGGACGAGGCGTAACGAGTTCTCTCGCAGGACGGAGTTACAGAGAACTTGACCTTAAAGTTTGTAAAAGCGACTCTCTCGGCGGTGTTCTACGGCAAGTAGAGAGCGAAGGGTGGGAATGGAGAAGTGGAGAGAGTAAAGTGGGAAGAAGGGAGAGACAGAGAAAGAGAGAAGAGAGGCGAACTGGTTGGTGCACAGTCACGTATCGTAATGTCAGTATAGAGGCACCGCTTCGGCAGAAAAGGCACGCGAGTAGCTAGGACCCTCGAGGCGGACTGAATGAGAATTTGGTAGCAACCGGTGTGAGTATGATTCAACGTTAAATTAAAGCAACTTTTTCTCTGCTGGTCTCTCGTGCTCGCTGCTTGACACTTTTTGCCGCTGTCCTCCTGAAATACGACTGCTTGCGCCTCTTGCATGGTCACAGTAACGTTAACGTTCCCTGTTTTTCCCAATTATCGCGGTCGAAACCGTGGAAGTCCTCCCACGTTTGCCAACGAATATCAACTACATTGATCCTGGAAACGAATAGTTGCAATTGTAATCGTAGGGAAACGCGCGGATTGGAAACGGCAATCGGGGAACAGAAAAATGGAGTAACGAAGTCCATTATTTACGTAAAAGGAAGAACGGAGCGTCCCGAGAATTGAGACAATCGGAAAAACTTGACGCGGTAAATGTCAATTTAAAAAAACGTTCTATTTTTTGTTTCACTTTTTTGCTTGTTTCTTGTTTCATTCTTCGCATTAATATGTGACAATAGGTATTTGGTTCACCAGGAAATTTAATCGGTGGACACCTTGAGAGAACCGGTTTTCTATATCTCGGTTGCATCTTATAATAACGAGCGATGTTCAAAGGTTTTTACGCACCTAATTTCGTGGAATTGATACAATTTAACGCGCAATTAACTCGATGCCGTAAACATCAAATGAGTCGCGTATAAATCCGACTTAAACGTCCTTAAGAATGAGGAGTCGGTCGGATGCCTCGAGACTGTTTCGTGCGATGAGGTATTCCGTCAGGTAGAACGTCAGTGTCCGATATATCTAACAGCCCATGTTCACGGTCATTGACCTTTCGCCCGGCGTTCTCTCCAACGGGAGACTTTAACGCGTCGAGTCTAATGGTGATCAACCGGTGACTAGAACTTCCAAATCGATCGAAAGCAATTGCGATCGGAAAATTGATGTCGAATAAAAGTGTTTGGTAACGCGATTACTTTGTTACATACCTAATTGTGTGACGTAAAAACTATGATACCAAATCGTTGATAACTAATTCTTATACTACGATGATTAACCCTTTGCACTCCGTACGTGCCTCTCAGTCGTCAATTCATTTAACACAGCAAAATTAATATTAAATATCAAACATTATAAACTTCGCACAATAGTTCCTCGATTTACGTGCAATTTCCCGTCGAGTCAGTTTGAAAAAATATCGGTATCTTAGAAAATTGAGTATTTCCAGTGAAAAGCTTCTGCAGTGCGAAAGGTTAATAATACACAAAACACAGAAAATGATTATTTCAATGAAGACATTAACACCGATCGTCGTGAAAAGTAGTTCCAATCATTGCTCAGAAAGTTTCGAAAGTCCGACCGGTTCCGTGGAACGCCGAATATAAATTTTTATAGGAACGATTTTCACCTCGGCGAATTCCTAGATCCGCTTTCGTTTGCTTTGCATGCTCGTTTCTGGCTTTGCACGAGGGCGAGGAGGTAGAAGGAGAAAAAGAAGAATCTTCACGACCATACGATGCACCATATGACACACAATGTCGTACACCGTTCATTTAGATGATGTTTCTGAAGATCGTGCCTTGCACGATGCTGTGTTACTTGGCCGCAGCAGCGTTACTCGGCGTGCTTCTGTTTCTGCTAGCGGTGTACGCTTACGCTCAGTACACGTTGGGAATCTGCAAGAGCAAGAACAGAATGGACGGGAAAACTGTGATAGTGACTGGATGCACTTCCGGTATCGGTAAGGAGACAGCGAGGGACATCGCGAAAAGAGGGGCCAGGCTGATCATGGCCTGTCGAAACGTGGACGCCGCGGAAACAGTAAAAGGTAGAGCCCAGATCAAACGATGAATCTTCAGTTCTTCAAATTCGAAACCGAAACTCTCGAAATTTGAAGCGCTGATTTTATTTAGCGAGAGGAATATCGTCTTTCGGTATATCCCTGTCATGACCCACTTTGAATTCCTTCATCTACAACTGGGTCGATCAGAAGCTAAGGCGGTTAAGTCGATTGTTTTGATGTTTTCTGATTTTTATAAATTGAAATAAATTTCTACAGTTTCCGAATATGTTCTGTAACCATGTCAGAAGCCAAAACATGAATTTCCTCAATTTTTCTTTTCTGCGCTTAACTACATTGGCTTCTGAGCGACTCAATCGTCGAAAAGATACAAATGTTTTTCTGAGACGTTTTTAAGTACAATTAATCTACTATTACGCATTCGAAGACATACATCAATCGACGTCTTGACAAACACAGTAATTAGCGGAAAATCTGTATCAGGCGATTCGCTCGGTATTTCCAGCGTTAGCTCGAATTAACGTCGGCTGAACTGAATTCCACCGAACGATAAATTAGCAAGTCGTTGTCGCGGCCAATTAATTTTGCATATTGTCTGCTAATGAGTCACGGATCCGAATGCTTCTCGGTAGAGGGAATCGTAACGATGCGTTGATTAGAAAAATTGCGGCATTCTGCGACGTGCAATTGCTTGCACGTAACCGATTTAAGCGTTACCGATTGATTGCCATTTACAATCGGAACGATATTTCACGGTGCACGTTAATTTCATAACAGCATTACCATAGAGAATCGTAAATTGCCTCGCGCGGAGAATCTGTCCGATCGATTCGCTTCGCCGCGTACGAATAAGAGGAACACTGTTTCGCAGAGGAGTTCGTGAAGGAGTCGAAGAACGAGAACATCGTCGTCCGAAAATTGGACCTCTCCTCGCTGGCCTCGGTCAGAGAGTTCGCGCAGCAAATAAATCGCGAGGAGAACAGGTTGGACGTGTTGATCCACAACGCGGGGACCGCGGAGGTGTTCAGGAAGAAGGTTTCTGAGGACGGTCTGGAGATGACCATGGCGACCAATCACTACGGTCCATTTTTGCTTACTCATCTTCTGATAGGTAAGCTACTTTTTTTTCGGCGACCCTCGGTTCATGTTAATCACTGTCCATTGTACACGGTACTGTCAACAGACCTGTTGAAGCGATCGAAACCGAGCCGCATAGTCGTCGTCGCCTCTTCACTGTACGTTTTTGCAAGACTGAACCTGGAAAACGTGAACCCGACGACATCCTTGCCCGGGTACCTGTACTACGTTTCTAAATACGCGAACATCGTGTTCTCATTGGAGTTGGCGAGGCGTCTTCAAGACTCCGGCGTCACTGTCAACTGTTTGCATCCTGGCCTGATGAACACCGGCATCTGGAAGAACGTCCCGCCACCGATGTCCTGGATACTGAACTTCATGCTGAACACCTTCTCCAAATCCCCGGAGCAAGGAGCACAGACGACCATACACCTGGCGGTGTCCGAGGAACTGGAACAAGTTACCGGCAAATACTTCTCGGACTGTCAGGTGCGTATCTGTTTCTGAAATATCGGATGTCACGCTTTCGGCTAATCTGTTCTTCTTTCGATATAGGAGTCGACTCTCACCCGCGGCATACAAGACCCGTCGAAAGGCAAGAAGTTCTGGGAGTTAAGCGAGACCATGGTGAAACTGCAGCCTACGGATCCGAAGATTTAGGGATCCGAGTGTTTCCTCCAAAGTATTTAAGAACTTCCGTCGCAAGTTCAGCTATTGTTACTTAATATATGTTTAATAACGACAACGAAGTGACGATAATAAATCTGTTTTTCCCTTTTACGTTAGGATGCGATGCAAGCTTAGATTAATTGTCAGAAAGATAGACGTTCGACGAAGGCAACGACAGGGGTTTCTACTTGTTCGCTATATTTTATTCTCAGCGCCGGGATAAAAGGTCTATCGCGCTTGTTACTCGTTTACAAAGCTTCTCAGTGTTTCACGTTCTGCGAGGAAGGCAGGGGGAACAATCTCTCCCACAGGCGCATTCTCTCGGGGAAGAAATCTGTCTTGATGCTGGGGTGTAGGTTCAGTTCGAGATAATTGTTTCTGGCCGGCACGAACGTGCTCCAGGTCACTCCCTTGAGCTTCTCGTTGTTCCTCGGAATCGGTTCGCCGCATTCCACGAAGTTCGACCATATGGAGGTGGAGATCTCCACCATGGGAATTTCAGGTGCGTCGCTCTCGAAGTACGGGAAGATCTCTTTCATGAAAAACAGATACTGCAGGTCGTCGTGGTGCGCCACACCTGGAACGAGCGGAATAAACGTTTCAATTATTCACCGAACACGCGAATATTCGACCGGGGAGTCGTCTTTTTAAGCGAACAAGTCGACCTTACCGAACGGAGTTGTGTCGTTCCACATGGCGAAACTGTAACGCGACTTGAATGTGAATTTGTAGAAGTAGACCGGCAGTCTGGAATACGTGGCTAGGACCCTGGCCGTTCGGAGCATGGAGAATATAATTATACCGTCGCCGTACACCTGCGAATCGCGGGAATATCAAATTTCCGCGGACATTTGCTAACGCTCGAAGAAAATTTCACTGACCTCAGCGAGTTCCTTGTTGTTGGCCGAGGTGATTGGCTGGTCGTCGAAGTAGAATCGCTTCAATTCCCTGCTGATGTAATTCGATCGAGGCGTGTCGCGCTCGTAATAGAATATGATGGGAGCTAGACGAGTCCAGTTGTCGTTGAGCTCCTGGTACAACGTCCCGTTGTTCCTCGCGTCTTTCTCGTAAGCTAGAAGGTAACGGAAGAAACGCGAGTAAGTCTTCCCCAAAGTTCCTATATACGAACTGCGTCTATTAACACTAGAACTACCGAATGGGTCGAATCGATCTATTCCTAAATTCTTCTCTCTCAACGATTAAAACGACGCTTCTCTGCGAAGTTACTAAAGAAATTGATTTAGCGATTCGCAAACTGAACCGTAAGTCAATTGAAATCTCAATAGCTGCATCTTTAAACGTCAGTTTGAGTGCTCGGTAGTTCTAGTGTTGATTGCGTTCTCCCTTAAGCTGTGTCGCGTTTAAAATTCCCAGTGAATGATCGCTAATCAGTTGCTCTGTCTAGTTACTCGATTAATTATGAAAAAAGAAGAAACAAGTGGAATTTCCTGGAAGCCTCGAAGAAATCGCGGAGAGTACAAATGCTTGTAGCAGAATATTCACCAGCAGCCACTCCCCCGAACTCGTTCTCGGTGACCCCAAGTATGACAGGAACCTGGTGGAATTTCCCCTGTTTAATCAAGTCGTACGGTTGGGCGGTCAAGAATCTCTCCACGCCGCGAACCTCGGGCTCCACCGTAGGTTTCCAGAGCAGAATCGGATTGCCGCGCCAGTCCTGCCGCGATAAAGCGATAATTAATTCTCATTTTAGGCGGGAACTGTTCCGACGGAAGTTCGCCGACTCACGAATAACGAGTCCAAAGTGCTGGTGAAGTTCTCCGCGGGTTTCGTGTACAGGCAGATCAACATGGAGCCCGTGGTGTCCGTGGGACAGTCCACGGCCTCGGCCTGCTTCTTGGACAGCTCTTTCTGGCCGTTGTTAGCGACGCCGTGATAGACGTCGGTGCCTATCGGCGAAGCGCTCATCATGATAGCTCTGTGGAACAGATTCTTGGTCATCGGTGACACCATGTGCAGCAGGATGCTGAAGCTGCCAGCGCTGTAGCCGCACAAAGTGACGGCGTTCGGGTTGCCACCGAAAGCGGCGATGTTCCGTTGAATCCAACGCAGAGCGATCACTTGATCCTTCAGACCCATGTTGCCTGGCGCCAGGTTGTCTCCGGTGCTTAGGAAACCTGGAAACATGTTCGTTGAACACCTTTCGATCTCTTCCAGGTCATGATCCTGATCCCTAAGCCTTGTCCTAGTCTAGGTTACCTAAAGCTCCTAGACGATAGTTAATAGTGACCAAAACGATGTCCTTATCCAAGAGGTATTGCGGCCCGAACAGCGAACTCTGGCCTGAGAAGCCGTAGAAGCCACCTGGGTGGATGAACACCATCACGGGTCTCGAAACATTCTCCGTCTCGCAGGGCAACTGGAATTGGAGTTGTTAGTTTAAGTAGTAAAAAGCTGGAAAGAGATCCTGTAATTACCTTCGTGGTGTACACGTTCAAACGCAGACAATCTTCGGACTGCAACAGACCTCCCGGACGAGGACAGCTAGGCCCCTCCTCGGAGGCGTCGAACACATCCTGCCAGTCTTCCGCCGGAATCGGGGGCTGCGATCATAGAATCGTCTCGTTTTCAACGGGGAAAGCAATCAACGGTAAAAGCATATTTCCCACGCGATCGTTAAAGACGCGCGAATGATAACGTGCGTCTAACGTTGACTCGATCACGGTGATTCACCGGCAACCGCATAATCTCGCGAGCCTGGCTGTCGCAGTTATGTCTGGAACGGAAAGCCTCGTTAAGGTGTTCCGTGAATAACGATCGTGTGACGCATCCTTCGTGTCAGCTTCATTGTCTCCACCTACAACCGCCCTCGCGCTCCTCCGTCGCGAGTAGCAACGTCCTCTCAAGGTCGCCGATCGTCGAGACCACAGCGCGCGATCGGAAAACTAAGGGGCCGGCGGCGTCGCGTGATTAATGCTCACCTGGAAACGTTGATGACCGGTGGGCGACTCGCCGTATCTCACGCCGCGGAACGAGTAGATCTTCTTCCCCAATCTGGAGGTCAAGAACGACCCGCGGATCGGACCGATCGGCGCGTGCACCACTGGCTGCTCCTCGGTGGCATTTTGCGCGGCGATCGCGCTGACCGCGCAACAGACGATCAACAAAGCGATCTTCATTTCGGAATCTGGATTCTACCGCTTCTACCTCGCGACCAGTGCAAGCTTCGCTCGTCTGACACTCGCTCGATCTAGTTAGGACTTGGCTGGTGCTCGTTCGAGCACTGAATAGCTCCAGGGCAGAACCGAGCGATTTATATGGTAGCTACCAACGAGGAAAACGAGTGGGGAAACCCAATTACATTTCTGCAGAACAATAGTTACTTCGTGAACGCTCACGTGAGATCACCCCGTACAAGGAAGGAAGCGCGACTCGAGCTTTTTTCCGAGGAACTGTTGTCGAAGGTCTTCGTTCGCGTCTTATCAATCGCCACATGCTAATGTCAATAATCCATGCATAATCAGCTACACTGACATGGACATTTCTTTATATGCTTTCCAAGTAACAATTAAGTATGGGGATTGTTATGCAATTGTCATTCGTTTCGACTAGTTACCGTTTCTGTTGTGACGTTCCAGTTGATTTTTTAATTAAACTTCGGATTTTCCTGGACGGGTTTAACCGTCATCGAATCGTTTCTTTATGAAGGTCAGGGTAAATTGATATAATAAGATACGAAACTAGCTCGAGAGTGTTGTAATAGTGTCATTCAATGTTACGAACACTGACGCGTCGTTGCTTACGTATTAATCGTTTCAACGAGCGATTCGTCAATGAGGCAAAAGAGAATTGTATTTACGTAAACTTTCGGGGTTAAGGGTTAATCAAACGGCAGATATAGAAGGTAAACGTTTTATTCAAAAATAAATGATTCATATAGCGTGTTTAATAGAAATCTTTCGGAGTTTCCAAGTATTATGCAAAGTTTATATCTTTATTGGTAAACATTCGTAGCTTATGCCGCTGGGGGCAAAGGGAAGAGCTTTTCCCATTCCTGCATCCTGTTCAAATATAAACCAGTTTTCATCGTAGGGTTCAGATTAATCTCCAAGTAGTTATTTTTCTGAGACGTAAACCTGTCCCATCTAATGTTCGTATAGGGGCCAGTCCTGGGAACTGGTTCGCCGGTACAGATGAAGCTCGTCCACATGGATGTGTACAAATCGACCATCGAGATTTCAGGTGCTGTACTATCGAAGAAAGGGAAGAACTCCTTTATGAAGAACAGGTATTGTAGATCGTCATGGTGCACCACACCTGGAAGAAGAATGCCAGCTTTCGATTGCCGTTCCATGGAAATATATATTGCACAAACTTTCAAACTTCCAAACTTTGAAACTTTGAAACTTCGAAACTTTCAAACTTTCAATCCTTCAAACTTCCAAACTTTGAAAGTTTGAAAGTTTGAAAGATTGAAAGTTTCAAAGTTTGGAAGTTTGGAAGTTTGGAAGTTTGGAAGTTTGGAAGTTTAGAAGTTTGGAAGTTTGGAAGTTTGAAAGTTTGGAAGTTTGGAAGTTTGAAAGTTTGAAAGTTTGAAAGTTTCGAAGTTTAAAGCTTTGAAAGTTTCGAAGTTTCAAAGTTTCAAAGCTTTAAACTTCCAAACTTCCAAACTACGTTCAGCAACTCTAATACCGAGCTATCGCTAAAAAATCTTCGATCTCTCAATCACGGCAATCACGCGGATCACAGTCATAAAAAAAAAGTAATAGGTAGCTCAGTGAATTGCTTTACGGTTGTTAGTTTACCATACTCGCTCGGTCACACGCGTGAACCTTAACTACGCGCAAATCCGAGCGTCCATCTTTTCGCTAAAAACGAAAGGATAATCGCTCGCTAAATGAGTGATCAGATATTCTCGAATGTTAATGCTCATTTACCATATGGGGTGGTGGCATTCCACATGCTGAAGCTGTATCGTCCTTGGTATGTGAACTCGTAGAAGTACACCGGTTTCCGAGAGTTTTCAGCCACGAGTTTCAGTCCTCGGTACATGGGAAATATGATTACGCTGTCCGCGTATATCTGTGAACCGATCGAGGTGATTCTTCGCGAGGTCCATTCGATACGCGCGAAATAAAAGTAGACTGCGCAGAGAGGAACGGTACCTGAGCAAGACCATCGTTGTTATTCGAATCGATCGGTCGACCCTTGAAGTAAAACTGGCGCAACTGGTCGCTGTCGTATTTCGATCGCCTGGTTCCACGCTCGTACATGAAACTGATCGGTGCAATCCGATACCAGTCGTCGCTCATCTGTTTGTACATGTTGTTTCCTGATCTGGTTGCGTTCTCGAATCCTGCGAAACGTGGAAAATCAGAAAAATATACAATAACAATCCGACCGGAGATAAACGAAGAGAATCGGAGACAATCGTAGACATTCACCGACGACAACTCCACCGAACTCATCCTTAGTCACTCCGAATATGGTCGGAACTTGATGGAATTGGCCTCGTTCGATCAACTTGTAGGGTTGATCGGTCAAGAATCGCTCCACTCCCGGGACGACCGGCTCCACGACCGGATACCATATTACTATAGGATCTCCGTACCATTCCTGAAAGAGAAAACACTCTTACCGTCTTTCCGTCGCAGATTTTCAACGAAAGACTATCGTCAACGAACAAAGAATTTATCCAAAGTGTCCGTGAAGTTCTCAACGGGTTTATTCTTCAAGCAAGAAATGATCGCCTCGCTGTCGGTCGTAGGACAGTCTAGAAGCGTAGCCTGTTTCACCGCGAGACGCTTCTGTTCAGTTGGGTAGAGCTCTGTGGTTAACAGGGAGCCGCTCATCACGATCGCTCTGTGGAATAAATCTTTGGACATCGGCGAAAGCAGGTGCAAGAACACGCTCAGTCCTCCGACGCTGTAACCGCTGATGGTCACGGAATTTGGATCCCCTCCGAAGGTGGCGATGTTCCTTTGAACCCATCGCAACGCTACAACTTGATCCTTCAACCCCAGATTCCCCGGAGCAGCGGCGTCGCCCGTGCTTATGAAGCCTGGAAAAGAAGGGAGCAATGTTCTTACAGGATGTTCACGAAATAACTAACTCCACTTTCTAAATTTCGTAAAATTCTAGTGCTGGGATACTCGAATGGTACGCATACAATTTAACCCTTTGACTGCTATGTCACCCAAATTCGGGTGAATTTTTCTTCCAGAAACTTAATTTTCTTGGTGACGTATCGAACGAACGGCATTTTGGATATGTGAGATATAAAAAGAAGGTAGAGCAATTATTAGGAAGATTCTTAACTTCTTAATTCCTGGTTAATGAAGAAAACTGTTTCGAGTATACGGGAGTTTTGATGATTGTTTAGGTGTTAAGGTGTTAAGGGCGAACCTTGTCATTTTAGAGCCATGAAACTGTCACATCTGAGATAAAATGTTGTCAACGTATAATTGAATTATTCGAATAACGTAAGATCGATGCACAGTCCCCTTTTTCTTAACTTTCTCTGATAAAGGTTTCGGATATTTCTAAAAATTCTCGACGAAGGGGTGAGACGTTGATCAGATTCTTCTTGTTTCCCTGACGCGGAATTAATCAGCTTCGGTAAATGGTTCGCGAGAGTTTCTCGGCATTCGTGGATCGAGTATCTGCTCGAATTACCTAGCGATCCGAGGCGATAGTTTACTGTGACCAACACGACATCCTTGTCCAGCAGATATTGCGGTCCGAATAAGAAACTCTGACCGGAAAACGAGTAGAAACCACCTGGATGGAAGAATACCAAGACCGGCCGCGCGACGTTCTCACGTCCCGAGGGTAACTGAAATTTATCAGATTAGCCGAGACCGTTCCGCATGAAAGTGCGCGTTGAACGACTCACCTTCGTGGTGTAGACGTTCAATCGCAGGCAATCCTCGGAGATCCACTTCTTATCGCCCAAATTTGGGCACGAGGGGCCTTCGTTGCTGGCGTCGAAGACGTCGTTCCAGTCGGCTGCTGGAGTGGCAACCTGCGTGACGAGACAATTGCAGAACCCATTCTCACCGGTGTCTCATAAATATCCGCTTTAAAGGAAATACAAGGAAACTCGCGGATTCTCACGATCGAAGGTCGACGATAAGGACTTTTACGCGAATATCGGAAGACAGTTGGAACCGTAGCGCGAGCTTTCTCGCGACGCGAGGTCTAGCGATCGGAGAAGACTCGTTGGCACTTAGATCTACGAGGAAATTAATTGAAACACGAGGTGTAGAAACGAATGCAGAGGAATTTAAGTAGCAGTCGTTCCTCGACATGTTCTTTACTGCATTTGACTTCGTTTCGTCTTCGAAGCAAAAAATCGCGGATTGAGATTAACCTATACAGTTAACCCTTTGCACCCCAGAAATTTGTCACTAGAAATATTCAATTTACTTTTATGAGATATAGATAACATTTTTTTAAAGTAACTTAACGAGGTTTTAAAGTAACTTAATCTATTCATAAAATAAGGGGAACAATGTTATTTGATTTCCACATTTCATGTATCGACAGATTACTCAAGACTCAATGTTAAATACAATTATACAATTTTGATGCACCAATCGAGTGGTGACTGAGAGGCACCTTTGGAGTGCAAAGGGTTAACTCTGTTTCACGAGTATATCTGTCATCTTAAACCTCGGAATAATGCTAACTTCCTTCGACAATGACTTATCTTTTCAAATATACATTTAATTCTCTTCTATTTTGCTTTCGTTCTTTCCATAATAGACATTAAGTGCATTTGTCTCGCGTTCGTACGCTCGTCCGGTCCGATCTCATTGCACACACCCCCCGAGAGACGTGTAGCGCCGAGTTCCACGATTAACTGCTCGATCAATCAGAAGGAACACCGCTGAATTCATTTCTACACCTAAGAAACGGAGGGAAACGAAAGATTTACCTGAAAACGTCGTCTTCCCGTAGGCGGCTCGGCGTATCTCACTCCGCGGAAGGAATAAATCTTTCGGCCGAGCCTTGAGTCCAGAATAGAGCCACGGATTTTTCCAGTCGGTGCTTGCACTTCCGGCTGCGAGGCATCGCATCGAAAGCCGCCGATGCCGATCATACAAAACGCGATCGCCAGCGAAACCGTCGAAGAAACCTCGAACTTCATCTTCGTCCCGCGAAGTTTGCGCACCCAGTCGAGTCACCGGATGCTCGGGCACTGACAGGCGCGACGCGCTGTCAAGACACTCTTATACCGCGATTAAAAGTGGAATAATAAGTCGTCGGTGTTCATGCTGTTAGCATAACGTATTCATGGATTCCGGGGAAACGTTATCGTTAAACTTTAAATTAGTTAAACTTCTCGGTCTTGTCGCGGACAATGCACGCATTATCTGCGAGTTAAACAATGAGTAATGTTTTTGACTCCTTTCTAGCGAGTGTAACGCATTATCGGTGGCTTGCGTAACGGGGAAACACCGGCAGACGCGGGGATCTTGTAATTTCAATCGCGCAGCGTCGATTTTCCTGTTCGCCTTATCGACATGTCGCTCGCGTCCAGATGTCGATAGCTTTTTCAGCCTTCTGATCCGAGCTGCAGAGATCGTGACTGACATCATATATTCATGGAGGACCTTGACGCACCGCTGATAGTCGAGCAGCGTTCATTTTTCAGAAACCGCGCAAATGCGTCGACAATGCGCTAATGAATAAATACATTGTTCTACTGTTGTCACGCGTATGTTTTAATGTTGATTCAGTTTTGTGTAATTTATTAGTCAGGTAAGGATTTGACTTATTATTCTTCTTGTTCTGGCTGTTCCTTCTCTTGTTCTGACTGTTCCTTCTCTTCTTCTGACTGCTTCGCTTGTTCCTTCGCTTGTCTCTTCCCTTGCTTCCCTTTCTTCTTCAGTTTCTCAGACCTCTTCCTTTCCTTCTTCTGCCTTTTCGCCAAATCTGGATAAACGCAGGGATCGTAAGTCATCTCGTAGGCGATCGGGTCGATCGGCCGCTTTCTACGAATCTTCTTCTTCTCCTCCTTCGGCGGGCATTCGGCCATTTTGTACGGCTTCGTTTTAGGCAGGACTTTCCCGTACGCCTATACAGAGACACGAATAGTTTAAATTATCGATTCGCTCAGAATCCAATACGTTTAAGCCGATTGTTGCATATCTTCCGATTTTTGTAAGCTTTTGTAAACTCGTTTGACCTTTCCTAATATACTCGTGCTATTATTTAGGGTTGTTTCCAAGTCTCAAAGCGGTACAACGGAGTTCTAACTAGACCTAATCATACGCTAAATACACAGGAAGACTATAGACGCAATAGAGGGTCACAGAAGAGGGTCACAGGGTCAAGAAGAAACCTACAGGCATTTCGAAAATCGGCTTCCCATACGCGTCCTTCTCTCGCGGAGGTCTCCTTTCCACAGGATTCCGGGGTCTATTCGGTTTCGCCAACGATTCTATTCTCCCGGAAGCCGAAGCGGACAGAGCTCCCTTTTTAACCTCGAAGGGATCAGGCTTGCAAGCCGTGCTTTCCCGAGTATTCGGCTTGGCCAATTTCTCCAAGCCCGGTGGCACTGCAACGATGCAAAGTCATTCGTCAAACCCATCGGCAGTTCTAACCGCGCAACGCGTCCGATTCTTCTGAATTCAGACCTTTCCCCTTCAAAGCAGCTTTGCCAACCCTAAACGCGTCATCCTTGCACGGGTAGGGTGTGTATCTCCACGCGTGCTTCTCCAGTTTCCTCTTCTTAGCCCTCTCCTCTCTCTGCTTCTCGTCAACTCCGCCTTCGTCGACTTTGTTAACCTCCTTGGCTTCAGTTTCCGCCTCGTCGCGCTTCCTCTTCGTGCCCTGAGCCCTCTGCTGCTTGGTCAGCGCGGATTTACCTCTCTTCTCCCCTCCCTCGATCAGTTGCTTCTTCCAACCCCTCGCGTCCGCGTCCTCTCTGTACTTTATCGACGCGTACTTCGGCAACGCCAGGTACTTCATCCACGGCGTTATCTGGTAACAGGAATCGCGTTGTCAGTGATGCAACGTATGCTCCATATAGAACAAGAAGCTCCCAAAATTCAGACCTCGTAGATCAGCGCGGTCTTCCTCACTCCGGACGCAGTGAACAGCTGCGCGATTTCCTCGGGAGTCAACGCGCCGGGGATATGGAAGACTTTCTTCGATGAGGCTAACTCGTTCAGCCTGTCAAGGATCGGAGTCCAGTGTTACCTCTTTCTCTGAACAATTGAATTAATCTCTTAGGCACGACGCGCCACTATAGTGGCTCCGTCGCTACCAATATGTCATATATTATACCCAATTGTATCACTAATTATTATTTTGAACTGTTAGAGTTAAATTATATGTATCATATCTTTAAGAAAAATTATAATTTAACACGTTGAACGCCACGCCGGTCCCTAGGGACCGCCGTTAGACTTTTCGTTCAGGCGCGGCCGGTCCATGCGGACTTTAGGTTCATATTACACGACAGCGCGTGTCGGTCCTTACGCACTCATATAAGACTAAATATTTGGCTTAGGCGACATCGGTTTTTGTTCACTCAGGACTTGAAAAAAAAGGATATGATACTTAAAAAAAGTTAACGTAGTTTATTAAAACAGGGTAAACAGAGGTGTGGTTTGCTTTTACATTCATTGCAGGAGGTGCTAACTTTTTGTGTTAAATTCTTTGCCACCTTTGAACCTAATATTCGGGAATTATTATTATAGCATTGAGAAAACTCCGGTCCTCAAGCCGATATTTCGGCTCGTCCGTCAGTGGTGACCGCGTCTGGGCCTGAATGGAACGACAAGCAAATCGGGCTGGGCACTTAACGTGTTAATCAACAACAACTTCATTCCAATGTACTCGCGTAGAGAACAGCATTGTCCGTACAGAACTCTGCCGTACAGAGAAACAGCCCCGCGCAAAATTCAGCCGTGCCTGAGAGGTTAACCGTGCACACCTGTCCATGTCGATGCCTGTCCGCTCGGGCTCCCCGCACATCGACACTCTGCGAGGTGGTTTCTCCGCGGGCTTCTCGGAGGTGTACTCGCGGGGCTGGCTCAACGCGAGTATCCTCTCCGACGGCGTATACTTCAAGGCCGCGGCGGAAACTTTGTAATAAACGCGACCGTAGTCGCAGAGCTTGACGTGCGGCAACGCTAGCAGCAGCAGACGCCTAGACGGGACAGCTTTCAACGCTGCTTTAGAAATGCTGTGGTCCAGTCGACACAGGACTCTCGGATCCGGAGCTTCCCTGGCTGCTGCTAGGACCTTCAGCCTCTTCTTCAGCTGAGACAACGGCTTCGACGGTCGCACCTGAAACAGGACGTTCGGGAAACGAGGGCACGTGCTTCTCGTTCGAAGAACGTTTTCTGGCTTCGTAAGGCGAGAAGGATACCGACTACTGCTTCCGGTTCGGGGTACCTTTTCGGCTGCGCGTTGACCTTCGCCCAGGCGTTGAAACGCGACCAGTCGGCTGGCGTCTTCAGCCATCCCTTCAACTTTAACGTGTACGTCCCTTTCCTTTGAACAATGGGAACGGGAATTGTTAAGCATGAGTGGATGTTGAAGACAAACTAGTTTAACACTAGATTTATGGACGTTTATTCTAAACTTTATTCTATTGTTTCTAGAAAACTACATGTTCGTCTATATAAGTCGCGAAAATTATAACTTCAAAACCAGACTATTGCAATGCGTATTCGCATAATTGTCCGAATCAAAATCGACTTAAACTGATACTAAATAAATAGTTAAAAAATGTAATATACGTCAGATTGACGGGTTCCGTAAATCTAGTGTTAAATGCCACGGGTCACCTTATTCTACTTTTCGCCTTCTGCGCTTTCTTTTTGAACGGTCTGCCCCGTTTGGCAGGTGTCTCTTTCGCTGGAGCAGCTTTTGACCGACCAGCACTCTTCGCAGGCGTTGCACCCTTCGCTGGGGTTGCAGGCGTTGCGCCCTTCGCTGGGGTTGCAGGCGTTTTGGCTCTCGGAGGCATGTTTCTGTGCTTCCAAGACGAATTTTTAACTTAAACGGAATGAAAAAGTTAAGTTGACGAGGGTGGTAGCTTGATTTCTGTTATTCCGATCGATTCGACGAGTGTCCAGGTTGGATCGTTCCGGTGGCGGCGAAGACGATCGTTAACGACGGCATTTTGTGGCTGATTTCCACGGAATCGTTCGTTTCAAACGACACCGCCCCATTTTTACTGTATTTCGACCATTTTCTTGTTGTGGGGGTTGCTTTCGTGCCAAGAGGAAACATGACAGAAGATGAACCTTCTATTGTTTCTTCCCTGACAGGTATGTTTTTCGAAGAAGCAACTGAAGTTACCGTAGAATCGTTACGTAAAATCACCGAGATGCAAAAATGATTGAGAATTCCAAAATTTGTTGTTAAAACTTGTATATTTCCATTGTTACGTGTAGGTTACAATAAGTCGTTCCTTGTCACGCGGTGTCTTGTTTCGGGAAACGCAAAATCGGTTTCGTGTTCGGGTTTTTCATCTTGCGAAAGTCGTCGTAATCTTCGTAGGATTCCGGTCGGCTGGAATAATTCTTCGGCTTGGTCAGGTCTTGCGAATGTCTAGGGAAACGTTTGTTCCTAGCTGCGACGATGCGGGCGTAGGTGTTCAGAGGAAAATTCCTTTTCCTCGATTCCTGCGCGTCCTTCGATTGCTCGTCGCTGTTTATCAGCCTGTGAGCTCCGTATTTCACTGAGGAAGTTGCGCAATGATACTTCGGGAGTCTGAGAAACTTTGTCATCGAATAGAAGCGTGCATATACGTACCTGTGGCAGCTGCGGGAACACTTTTGATCGATGAATCTGCCGCGACAGGGGTTTTCGGTTCCGGTGATCGTTTCGGTTGAGCGAGTTTGTTCAAAGTGTCGGTGATCTGGTAAGACAACGTTCCTGGTCTCACCTGGAATCACGTAATAAGTTCAGGACAATCGTCTTTCATTCGGCTTCTCCTCTTCGTTCGTTCGTGGCACTTGCGTTGAAGGCATTGTAGTTTATGTTCCTGTCGATCCTCTTTCTCGGCTTCGCTAATTTCTCGTATCTCGGTGCTTTGTCCTGGAGAACATCCGTGTTCATATCGTTCATGTGTGAATCGGTGAGACTGAATGGCTGTTACTGGGGTCTAGGTTGTTGCCGAGAATTTTGAGGACCTTGATGACGGATTGAAAATGGCGGTGTGCGGCAGCGAAGCGATGGCCGAGCTCCGTGAAGCGAGCGGCTTGCTCGCTTCAACTGTTCATCGGGGACGAATCGTTCGTCGATGAATAGAAACGATGGTCTGGTTAAAAGTGGGAACGAAATTCTGAAATCCCAAGTTTCGGGGGAATAAATTGACGATGAATTAAAGGACAATGCGAGTTACACGCTTCAACCATGCACGAATCTGCGAAGAACGTGGCGAATCCGAGAAACCACCACAAACATTTCAACACCGCGATGCATGAATCAAAGTAAATACTTTTTCCGTGTTATTTCGATTTCTTGCGTTCACGAGAGACAATTCTTGTGCGATAGACACCGAGTATCTACAGTGACGGTTAAAAATCGTAGCGCCGGATTTAGAAAGAAAAGCTACTGGTGTGCTCCCAGGAAAACTGGGAGCGAGAGTCTTGAGAAGAAAGTCGAGGACCTTCCAGTGAAAGCAGATATTGAGAAACCGAGGAAGGTAATTTTTATACGTCTTGATGAAAGATCTGTGACGATACAAGGTGTTTCAGAAGCGTCGTAAAAGGGTGCGTCCGAGAAAGCTGAGGCGCATCGACGTTCTTGCGCAACCGAGGTCTCAGAACCATCTCTTGGCCCAAAAAGAACGTTCTACTGTAACTTCTATTCTAATCGCTTTGCAGTAATCAGGGTAAGTTAAGTTAATTGATTATTTTCGTGTATCAAGGTAAGCCAATCAACGCGGAAGCGTCGTGTCCTAAAATTATCCACGGCGAATGGGAAGACTCGTGAACCATTAAAGAGTGGCAAAGGGTTCATGTTGCAACACCTTTCGAAAATTATGCGGAGCAAGAAGTTGCAACGTCGACTATTTTCCTTAGGTTTGCATAAATGTTATCATAGATAATATCTTTAAGTTTTGCACAAAGTGAATTTCCGTGAATATTTCGCAACAGTAACGAAAAAACTCAAGGAGCAAAGGAACTCTGGGAAAGTGTAGTGTGTACTCGTCTAAGTACCTATGGTGGCTAAATAAAAGAGTGCATGTTTACGAAGATATAAATTTATTTCGATCGAAATGTACAAAAAATGGTAATGGACGGCATAAGGCACGCGTAAACTATTTCGTACGTTAAAATCTTACAATTACTATAAAACTTCGAAGTATGGACGGATCAGATCAAAGTCTGGAGCTCTTAAGCTAACAATAAACTATCGCTGTAGCGTTTAAATAAAAATGCTACGAGAAATTGTTTTGCCACGTTCAGTCATCTAACAAGGCGTCTATATATAAAATATAATCAATCTGTGAACACATTTCACATAGATATTATAAAACTATAACCTGCAAACTTAGCGGTATACTAAAGCATATCTTTGATCCTGTCGGAATTCTACCTATCTGTTGTTCAATATACATATATATATAATAGAGATTCATTAATAGAAAAGATATCTATTAAAGTTTATCTACTGAACACGTAAGTGAGTAGAACCATAGCAGCTGTAGCTAATATCGATTGCTCTATAGCGGACGCGCCGGCATTGCAGTCAACGATTCTTCGAGCCCGCATGAAATCTGGACCTAGATATGCACTGTACTCCCTCTTTTCCGACGGCACTACCACCAGCTGTTGCGTAGCGTCTTGGAAGATCAGGTCGCTGTGAGGAGGCTTACTGTAAAACATACTGAAGCTAAATTCATCCTGTTCTTTCCTTCCGTAAAACTGTTGCGCATAGATAAACAAGTTTATGTAAGCGTTCGTCTGCGTTTCGTTGTATCCGTAATACCCTCCGCGGGTTACTATCGCGTTCGCAGCGACTTTTCCAAGATTGCAGTGGATGTAATCGGTAGTTGGTCGACGAGTACCGTCGGGGCAGAGCAACTCGAAATCTTTGGTGAACGTGTTACGCGCCCATGTCTCCTTTCGTTTCCCATCCGTGTTTTCCGCGACTGTCGTGTGCTTTACGAAAGCCACGTCTCCACCTCCTTCCACTAAGCACCTAAAGGCACCTGTGTATCCAAAGTAATCTTCCGACGCGTCCCTACGACAGTACCGGAAGCTTTCTCCGTGACATAGGTCACACATGTTATCGTAAGGCACTCCTGTAACAAGAACGCAATTATTTGTATATCGTATAGAATTCACAAGGAGCTTTTGTTCCGGGATCATAATTACCTGTATTGTACTCGGTGCTGAGCGCTCCTGGTACACAAGATTTACTGAAATATTCGGCTGCAGCTCGAACCGAGTCACAACCGTACCCCCTAATCCAAGTGTTGGAGATAAGATACGCCAGAGGGTAGACCCAACCAGCAGCCGTGTTAATTCCGGTGTGACAGGTGTATTTGTTCTTCAAATAAGTTAAATCTGTATTGTCGTCCTCTTCTTTCGCCACTGCAACTACATAGTATTCTGGAGTAGGTAAGTTGTAGACCTCAGAGATGAATGGGATCAAATCGAAACGTAAACCAGCAGTGTATACATCGCTAGTATCCAATACTGTTACGTCGGCGATCCTAAACGAAAAAGGTATTTTTGTATTGCAGCTGATGTAGTAAATGTAATTGATGTATCTAAAACACATACCCGCTCTGTATGTCCTGCATGCAATGAATTTGACTATGACCTTTATGACAATTTAATTCTGGTTTTAATAGCTGTGCTTTTAATGCTATCTGGAATAAGAATGGGAAATTATCAGGATTAGAATATGCGCTACAAGGTTTCTATAATATTATATTTACCTTCATTTCTACACACTTCTCCATTTCCGCATCAGATGTAACGCACAATGTCATTCTGTTCACGGTACAGCGACGAACTTCTAGTATGGGATTCAATGCTCTGCCTAAGTACCCAGCATAAGTTTGATCTTTCTCTTCCAGTTGAACAAAGTCTCGTGCTGAATCCTGGAATCGCGAGATTTATTTAAAGACTAAGAGAAATATAAACATTAAAAAATATAAACGTTATAATTACCGAGAAAAGTAGGTTATGTTGTATTCCATATCTTGGCGCAGATTCAAATAAATTAAACGTCTCTATCGGTTGTATATTCGTCGATTCTGCCTTGTCCCATCCAGTTAGCCCATTACCGTTGTAACTTCTATCGTATCCATTACGACCTTCGAAATTCTCGGTATTGTACTCATTAGGATTATTATATCCGCTGGTATTGAAATAATTATCACCAAATCTGTTATTAAAACCAGGTCTATTTTCGAAGCGATTGTCATAAAAATCAGTAGAATTTTTGGCATTATCTTTTTTCAGTATTACAGCTGCTTTTTCTAGAAACCGCTGATATAATCGACGAGTTTCTATTCTCGTGGCAGATGATACAACTACCGCACGCGACGGTACTACCCCCCAGTTACAAATCTTATATTCATCAATATTCTTGCGAGTACCATCTACACAAAGCAGCTCAAACTGTTCTTTCTTAATGGAATCTACAAAAAGGAACAGACCAAAATTATTAATATTGTCATTTTCTAATGATTAAAACGCAAATTGGAAACATACTAAAGTCAAAGGTTGTTGATGTCATTTCATCTACAGTTGTGTGCACTAAAAATGCAATTTCTCCTGCTTCTACTAAACATCTAAATGCTCCTTCATATCCTGCATAAGGATCTGCACTTGTACATCTTCCACCAGGTATTTTACCAATACATAGGCTGCACAATTGATCAGAATTATCACCTATAATTTTATACAATTGTTATAAACCAGTTTTGATATTTAATGACACCACCATCAACTTACCTAATGGATTGTATTTATCTATTAAAGAATTAACTGCACAACTAGGTCCAAAGTATTTTATAGCAGATTTAACATGATTGTTACAATCAATTATTTCCAGTCCACCTTGTTTCATAAGCTAATGTATAGAAAAAGAATAATAGTTATCATAATGATTTACAATAAAATAATCAGAAAGCTAAGGCAAGTTATATTTACCGTATGAATAGGAATAACCCATCCAGCAAGCATTCCAAGACCAGCAAAACAGGCCTTTTTCCCCCTCAAATCTCGTAAACTCTGAACATCTTGCAAAGATCCCTTTTTTACAACTGCGACTGCAAACTGATAGTTCACATTGCTTTCATATATTTCTTGCATAATTGGTATTAAACTGTGATATCTTCCTGCTATAAAAGTTTCTCCTGCATCCAAAGTTGTTATATGTGCTTTCTCCTGATCCAGCATAGACACACATTCTTCTTTGCTAGCCGCTTGCTTACATTGCACAGAAACATAGAACCGTCCAAAGAATGTTATCTCACGATCAATAGCCCTTGAAAATGCATTGCACTTGTCTTGTTCAGCTTCTGATATTGTGCACCATATAACAGTATTATTGAGATTCTGAGCTACAAAATAAACGTTGAGGATAAAATAAGTAAAAGATTAATTAAAATAATATATTAGTTGAAAAGAAAAACCATTCTCCATACCATGTACATGAAGGTAGAACAAACTAAATAATAATAGAAACATACGTTCACTGTTTCTGTGCAGCATTGTTAGCTATTCATTTAAACAAACTTCAATTAAAACGAAAGACAACACCCAATGCTATGATGCTACAAAACTGTATCTGTGGCGGCCTCTCCAGCCCTCACTACTTATTTACGACTGGCGCAACTAATTCTTACCGCTTTATACATTAAGCATCATGCAACTAACGGCACGAATTATTCGCTCTTTAAAATCTGCACTTTAAACTGATGGCGCCATCCGTGGCAAAACGCTCAAACTGTTAGCCAAACGTTATCGACAGGTGAGTGGAGATGGAAGACAGGTGGCGCCTCTGATGACAAAACGCTCAAACTCGTAACCAACGTCATCGACAGCTGAATTTAGCTACCAGTTTGAGCATTTTGCCACTAGAGGCGCCACCAGTTTTTTGAGTTCACTCACCTGTCGATAACGATTGGCTACCAGTTTGAGCGTTTTGCCACGGATGGCGCCACCAGTTTAAAATGCAGATTTTAAAGAGCAACTAATTCATGCCGCTAATTGCATTACGTCTTACGAACAGAACGGCAAGAATTATTCGCAAGCGCTCAAATCATTGAGAAAATAAACGTAAACAAATAATAATTCAATACATCAGCAGTTACGAAGAAATTAGGGCCTCTCGCGTTGTTTTCCTACGAATAAATAATAATAAATAAGAAAGTATCTTAATACTCATTGGAAAGCATTAACACCAGCGGTTATTAAACTCCAAACGATCATTTCTCTCGCAGCAGCCCGCTTCCTCAAACTCGCAAGGATCGCGTGCGACGATAATCGCACGTTTTACCATTACGTCACTGCGCGACTTTCTACATCCTCTTCGCGGTACTGTTATAAAAATTTCCTCGACATTTAATCACGTGAAAGGAATCTCGCGAGTCCTGGTGTCGCGTGCGCTATAGCTCTCTCCGCGATCAAGACTCCGCAGAACTCAGGAATCCAGAGGTTTCCTCTATCGCGTTGATCGCCGAAATTATTATGCACCGTTAACCGACCGTTCTACCTAATGGCAATAATCGCCACTATTTGCGACGTGTTTTCCAACAAGCAATCGTCATCTGATAGCCTCCCACTCGTCCAGCTCGCTAAAGCGCGTTGCCTGTCGCTGAACTTCTCACGCGTCGTCTGCGTTTCATCGTCGCTACAACCGTTACTACGCCTATGATCCGAGCAGCGGAACTTCCACGCCACTGCCGAGGGACAATTTCACGTGCGCCAACCCCATATATCAGTTTAAACGCTAGCAGGACAGTGTGATCCGTTTCACGGCTGACTTTACGTCCCGCGACGGCCATTTACTTTCTCATCGGCGTTCTACCGTGACTCGATTCCCGCGCGTGTCCTTTTCCTGTTTTCCCTATCTGTTTCCCGGGACATTACCCCGCGATTAGGAGACCGCTGCGACGACGTAACGTTACGCGGAGTTACGCGAACGTCGTTGCCAACAGTTTCGGAGCGAATTGCCGGAAATAATCGTCGCGAGCCGTTACTTTGATGGGACTGAGCTTCCCTCGGCCATTAGAAGCGACCACGTTTATCTATTCCAAATAGTCCTCCGACGCGAAACATTAACAGAGAAGTTACTATCGCGTCATTCGCATTGAAAATGGCGCAGTCGGTGATCGCACGGCTTCGAAGATAAAAATAAGAGTACGAAGACCTCTGTGAACTCTGATCGTTTTCACTTTGGAATTCTTAATCGCCTCGTAGCGCTTGTCATTAAAGAAACATACGAAGAAAGCAACGCGTTGCGTCGAGGCGAGCTGCAACTGCTCATCGAAGCGTCTGATGCAACGAAGTAGCTGCGAGAATCGTTAATGACGGGTTAGAAGAGCCGCAGGTCGTCGGCGGGTAACAGTATCGCGAACGACAACGTTTCGATCTTGTACGGGCTAAGTGAATTGTCTCGTCGTTTCCGCGGCAAGAAAAAATGGCGGATCCCGGCCGGCAGGCCGGATCCTCCTCTTTTCCCTGTATCCGCCGTTTCGTTGTCTTTCGACGTGGATCCCGTTGTGTTTAAACGTGTTTTGCATTCCAGGCAGCCGGAGGGCCGCTCTTTCGCATCTCGTTCGCCGTCTAATCGTTCGCGGAGGCGTAAATTGGTTCCGGTTCGAGGTAACGGCGATCCTTCTTTAATTTATAGCCGCCCAGGACGACGATTCACTCCGGAATTTCGAAGGTTCTCTCGGAACTGGAATGGTTTCGGCGTCCCAAGGTCGCCAGGACGATCCCCGCGTTGTTTAACGCTCTCCCACGCTTTCTGTTTCTAATTTTCCCGGTTTTAATTCGATCGGTTGGCACATCGGACGCGCTCGCCGCGCGCAATCCGTCCTTGCGCGTCGTCCCGCATATTATCTGACCTGAATAAACGATAAAGACGAGGCTCGGCTGTACCATCGCGCCTCATTTGTATTCGCCGACTATAATCGACGCGTGCCGGATTAACGCAATCCGCCGTTCGCCTCGTTCGACAGGTGCAATTAATGAAATTGATCGAACGCCGCCGCTGGATTCACCGTTCATCTCTGAGGGATCGGGATTCTAGGCGACTGAGACATTCAGGGATTACTTTCAAACTCAACGGCGGTTATAGATAGTCTCTTACTGGTCGTTAACACGTTAAGCGTCACGAAAATAAGCGTTTTCATATAGAGTTTTCTGTTATAGCAAAGATAGGCAGGAACAGTTATTAATTACTTGGCGTTACGATGTTTGCGTTTCACTGTTATCAACTTACTTGCGTTATTAACCTTTCGCACTCTGAACGCGACTCTCAGTCACCGTTTGATTTAACGTGCTAACACTATGAAATCTAATATTTAACGTTGAACTGTGTATAACTCCTTGATACGTGAAATATTGGAATAAAATAGTTCCTCGGTACTCGTGATTTCCCTCCGAGTTTCAAGGAATATCATCTTCGCCTCGTATCAATCTTGTGATAAAATAGCTTCGTTCAATGTGCTTGTGATTTCTCTTCGAGTTAGTTTCAAAGAATATAGTCTTTGTCTCATCGAATGATAAATGTTTCTAGTGAGAAACTTTCGAGTGCAAAGGGTTAAACACAGACGTTCCTCCGAGAAATGATTCACGAAATAGCTTCAACAAAACTAAGCCGTAAACTTGGCCTCAATAAAAGCGTTCTTAAAGTTTTCATACAACGTCAAAAAGTCTACTCGGTAGTTTTCGTGTTAATTAGTACATGTATTCTCATTAGCTTCGAAGAATGTCGCTTATATCTCCCGGATCGCGTCTAGATTCCTGAAAAACTTTAGACAGTCAAGAGTTAATGGGTATGAGAGAGGAATTGCGACTGGAACAAACAAACCATAAAATCCACGGCGTTCCGTTCGTTTGTTCGTCGCGAATTCCGTTCGCTGCGACGTGGATCCCGCGAAAACAATTCTAAGCAGTGGGACATTAATTGATCACGCAGATCAAGTACGCAACCGGTCGAGTATTTTCACGAACAAAATAATCCCGTCGAGGAAACGTCTCGTCGAGACGTATTTTGCTCGGCGGAGCAGCGTCTGGGGTGTCCTTTCGCTCGTACGAGACGAAATTCGTTGATCGGCGGCTCAAACTTTCACTGGCATTCGAACCGCATAGCTCAGGACTCTGATCCCGGCCGCAGGATAAGCGCGCTATTTTATTTTCGTTCGGCGAGGTGTGTATCATTGTCGATACGCGATACGTGTTTCGCTTTAGCATCGTTTCTACGGGCGCGTATGCGCGAGCACGTGAACGCAACTATGCTGCGGTCCGCAGTTGTATCCGTGTGCGCGCAACTATGCTGCGGTTTGCCAACGGAGAACGCGTCCTATCATTTGAAACCGTAAATCTGCGCGTTTCGAAGATTCCGTGCTCGCGTTGCCCGCCTGCCGAGGGAACGTTCGCAAAAACTCGACCGTGGAAATTGGCGATCGGAGAACGTCATTTACGTTCGAACTATTGACACGTGAAGCGCTATGGTGAATGACTAGAATTCTGAATGACTAGAAAACAATTGTAACATACAAGGACTTAATCCTTAACCCTTAACCCTTTGAAATCGGAAGTTTCTCGCTAAAAAGGACGCAAAAAGGCTTAATAGGACGCTCTATTTATTCCAGAATATTTGGGAGTCATTGAAATGTTACCTTCAAATCGGACAATTGTGATACTAGAAATAAATATAGAAAAAGTTGTTAAAACAGGCAGAGGTTGCAATAAAATAGACCTTTTGACCTGTTTGGCCTGTTTAGCGCGCTCGAATTAACTCGAGCGTACAAGTTAAGGGGTTAATTGCTTATTCTACGTTCATGTATCATTTTAGATATGCATAACACAAATCCAAAGCAGAATTTACAAAGTCGAATTTCTATTTCTATCTATTTAAAATATATTACACAACAATATGATATCTGATTTTTTCTATGTATAGCGATATAAGTTGACCTCGGCGAAAATTCCCATCAGTTTCAGTTTTCTGAAGATTAGCCGGTACGCGATGCGTTAAGAAACAAAGCTACTTACTTCGACGTCCCACTCATCGACGCATTATACAAACAAACGTTAAACCGAACGTTACGCGATACTTTCTACTTTTGACATGTCGAATCAAGTGTGGACCGCGAGAGCTCTCGAGCGCGAAGCGTTAATTCGCGACGTCCGACGTGTCGCATGCTTCTTCCGGAAAGGCGAGCTCGAGCCACCTACGACTGCCGGCCTCCGAGCGACTGACCTGTCGATGAACCGATGAATCAGATCCCGCGATCGATGAGATAATCCGGCGAGGTAAAAAGCGGAGAACTCAGACAGAAAAATGAAAAGTTTCCGGGTGTAACGGAATCGGCTCGGCAAGAAACGCAGCCGTCATCGTCACCGCGATCGTCATTGTCGTCAGATGAGCATGCCGGAGCGGCCCTGAATGGAATTGTCGTGTGACGCCGGCGAATATGAATTCGTCCTTCGCGCGGAGAGAACTTGTAACAGCGGCGGCAGAGTTTTCTATAAATACCGTTTTTACGACCAGTAATGTTTATGGTATTTATGAATTATGGATAGTGCGGCGATACGCTACCGACGGACGACAGAGCTCATTACCATCGACGAACACGGGCCTCGCGCGAGGGTTGCTTCGAATTTCCGCGAGTCCCCGCAGAATAGAACAGGAATATTCAATGTTCGAGCTCGACGGAGCTAGTTATTCGCGATAACCAGCGATTATATGTTCCAGCAACAGTTTCCATCGCTGTTCATCGATATCTAGAAATCCTCGAGGAAACACGAATCGCTACGCTTTCCCTGCTTCTCCGCTTATCCGAACAGTCGGACGAAACGCGAAGATCCAGGCAGATTATCTCGTCATAGCCTCGCGCGAGGGTTGCTTCGAATTTCCGTGAGTCCCCGCAGAATAGAGCAGGAATATTCAATGTTCGAGCTCGACGGAGCTAGTTATTCGCGATAACCAGCGATCATATGTTCCAGTAACAGTTTGCATCGCTGTTCATCGATATCTAGAAATCCTCGAGGAAACACGAATCGGTACGCTTTCCCTGGTTCTCCGCGTATCCGAAGAGTCGGACGAAAGATCCGAGCAGATTATCTCGTCATAGCCGCGCGCAAGCCTTCCGAAACGAATTCCGTGGAAAGAGGAGCGCGCGGAAGGTTCAGCGACCACGAAAACCCCTCGGACGTATTGGTTCGGACGGATCGGTGCGCCAAATATGGTCGCCGCGCGGTTCGGCCGAGCTAAATTCATCTTCCCTTTTAGGTCCCCGCGGAATGGGCTCGGGGAGGACGGGATTACCCTGGAACAATCCTCGGATGAGCTCTTTGATCTCGCGGATCGCTCGTTAATCGGTACACCCTGTAGGGGTACAGTCGGCCGAAGCGAGTCCGCGCGAGCGTGTAGGTGGAACGGGCGGCGGCGGGGAGGGGCGGCGGTCCCTGTCGGAGGCCTCACCGCGGAGGATCGTATTGGGGGACCGTTTTTAAGGCAACGGACAGAGACGAGGCGAATCGTGCACGCAAACCGACGAGCGGCCGGACCAGGCGGCACGGGACGGACGGAGATGGCGCTAGGCTCGCTCGCGTCGGGCCTGCTCGCCGTGTTGGCGGTAGTGATGGGACTGACTTGATGCTTATCTAGCGAGTTACGAAACTCCGCGCTTCGATTTTCGATGTTCCCATTCAGCCTTCGGCGAGTTTCCCCGTCGATAGCCACGCGGATATCGGATTCATCGGGCTGTGACGAGAAGCCTCCCGGCGCGAGACGTCGCGAGTTTCGATCGATCGTTGCGAAGGTCCTCGACACTTCGGCAGCAGGTTTTCCCGAGCGCCCACGCCTGGAAACAGGTTAACGAGAGTCCCATTGTCCAAGGCTGTCCAAAGGTGTCGGTAGCCTAACAGCTAGGCCTCTCGAAGATTGACTCTAAAGGGCGCCGTTCACCGGCGTAGACGTTCGTTGATCCACAATTATCGATCCCCGGCAATCCCGGCGATCCTCGGGGACCGTAGCTCCGCGATTACCGGGGGAGCAGGCTAGTCAATTAGCGAGCCGAGTTCCTGTCCGTCCGTCTGGTCGGCGCGAACTTGACACGGTGACATTTCGAGGATCGGAAAAAAGGGGGTGAACGAGCAACCCACACCAGGCCGCGTGTTGTCTCCATCGCTGATCAATGGGCCTCTCTACCTGCCCGGCTTAACCTGCCATCCTCGGCGCAGGGGCGCCGCTCCGCGCGGCAGAGTGGGGGGAGCGGTAGACGGCGCGCGGTGAAAAAGAGCGACGGTGGGGCGAAGGGGCCCGGTTCCACCACCGCCGCTCGCCGGCGTCTCCGTCG